AGGGGGTGGGAGAGAGTGAGAGGGAGAGAGAGAGAAAGAGAGAGAGAGAGAGAGAGAGAGAGAGAAAGAGAGAGAGAGAGAGATAAATCTACTATATATATATATATATATATATATATATATATATATATATATATATATATATATATAGTCATACATGTATTCACATATATAGAAATATTTAGATATTATATATGTTCTATTATTATTATTATTATTAAACATTAAATATTGAATCTCAAATATTAGAAATTAAATATAAAATTCAATATCATCATTAACAAATCAAAAAAATTAAAATTACCTAATAAATAAATGAATATATATTAAATTTCATTATTATGAATGTTAAAAATTTAAATATTATTATAATTGGATATTAAATATAGAAACATTTAGATATTAAATATATTCTATTAGTAGTATCATCATCCTCATAATGAGTATTGTTATTATTATAATTATCATCATTATTATCAATTATTATCATCACTTATTATCATTTATTATAATCTATTATCATTATCATTATCATTATTATCATCATTATTATCATTTATTATCATTTATTATCATAATTTACTATCATTTATCATCATCATCATTTATTATCCTTTATTATCATTATCCTAATTCCCAATCCCAAAATTTCCCCAAAAAATCCCAAAAAATTCACAAAATTCCCAAAAAATCCCAAATTTCCCCCCCCCCAAAAGAAAAAAATCCCAAAAATCCCCCCCCCCCTAAAAAAAAATCCAAAAAAAAAAAATCCAAAAATCCCCCCAAAAATTCCCAAATTCCCCAAAAAATCCCCTCAAAAAAAATCCCAAAAATTCCCAAATTCCCCCAAAAATCCCTAAAAAAAAATCCCAAAAATTCCCAAATTCCCCAAAAAATCCCCTCAAAAAAAAATCCCAAAAATTCCCAAATTCCCCAAAAAATCCCCTCAAAAAAAATCCCAAAAATTCCCAAATTCCCCCAAAAATCCCCTAAAAAAAAATCCCAAAAATTCCCAAATTCCCCAAAAAATCCCCTCAAAAAAAATCCCAAAAATTCCCAAATTCCCCCAAAAATCCCCTAAAAAAAATCCCAAAAAATTCCCAAATTCCCCAAAAAATCCCCTCAAAAAAAATCCCAAAAATTCCCAAATTCCCCCAAAAATCCCCTAAAAAAAAATCCCAAAAATTCCCAAATTCCCCAAAAAATCCCCTAAAAAAAATCCCAAAAATTCCCAAATTCCCCCAAAAATCCCCTAAAAAAAAATCCCAAAATTCCCAAATTCCCCAAAAAATCCCCTCAAAAAAAAAAACAAAAATTCCCAAATTCCCCAAAAAATCCCCTCAAAAAAAATCCGAAAAATCCCCCCCCTGAAAAAAATCCCAAAAAAAATTCTCATTCCCAAAAAAATCCCTAACTCCCATTCCCACTCCCCCAAATTTGGGATTTAAATTCAAATTTGGATTTGAATCCCCCCAAAAGAAAAAAATCCCAAAAACCCCCCCCCCCCTAAAAAAAATCCAAAAAAAAAAATCCAAAAATCCCCCCAAAAATTCCCAAATTCCCCAAAAAATCCCCTCAAAAAAAATCCCAAAAATTCCCAAATTCCCCCAAAAATCCCCTAAAAAAAATCCCAAAAATTCCCAAATTCCCCAAAAATCCCCTCAAAAAAAATCCAAAAATTCCCAAATTCCCCAAAAAATCCCCTCAAAAAAAATCCCAAAAATTCCCAAATTCCCCCAAAAAATCCCCTAAAAAAAATCCCAAAAATTCCCCAAATTCCCCCAAAAAAATCCCCTCAAAAAAAATCCCAAAAATTCCCAAATTCCCCAAAAAATCCCCTAAAAAAAAATCCCAAAAATTCCCAAATTCCCCAAAAAATCCCCTCAAAAAAAATCCCCAAAATTCCCAAATTCCCCCAAAAATCCCCTAAAAAAAAATCCCAAAAATTCCCAAATTCCCAAAAAAATCCCCTAAAAAAAAATCCCAAAAATTCCCAAATTCCCCCAAAAATCCCCTAAAAAAAATCCCAAAAATTCCCAATTCCCCAAAAAAATCCCCTCAAAAAAAAAAACAAAAATTCCCAAATTCCCCCAAAAAATCCCCTCAAAAAAAAAATTCCGAAAAATCCCCCCCTGAAAAAATCCCAAAAAAATTCTCATTCCAAAAAAAATCCCTAACTCCCATTCCCACTCCCCAAATTTGGGATTTAAATTCAAATTTGGATTTGAATCCCCCAAAAGAAAAAAAATCCCAAAAATCCCCCCCCCCCTAAAAAAATCCAAAAAAAAAAATCCAAAAATCCCCCAAAAATTCCCAAATTCCCCAAAAATCCCCTCAAAAAAAAATCCCAAAAATTCCCAAATTCCCCAAAAATCCCCTAAAAAAAAATCCCAAAAATTCCCAAATTCCCCAAAAAATCCCCTCAAAAAAAATCCCAAAAATTCCCAAATTCCCCCAAAAATCCCCTAAAAAAAATCCCAAAAATTCCCAAATTCCCCAAAAAATCCCCTAAAAAAAATCCCAAAAATTCCCAAATTCCCCCAAAAATCCCCTAAAAAAAATCCCAAAAATTCCCAAATTCCCCAAAAAATCCCCTCAAAAAAAAAACAAAAATTCCCAAATTCCCCAAAAAATCCCCTCAAAAAAAATCCGAAAATCCCCCCCTGAAAAAAATCCCAAAAAAATTCTCATTCCCAAAAAAATCCCTAACTCCCATTCCCACTCCCCCAGAGGCCCGCCCGGCCCTCAGGGCTTCGCGGGCATCCCAGGCCTCATTATTGTTCATCATTATTATCATTTATTATCATCTATTATCATTATTTATTATCATCTATTATCATCATTATTTATTATCATTTATTATGATTATCCTAATTCCCATTCCCAAAATTCTCAAATTCCCAAAATTTCCAAAAAAAAATCCCAAAATTCCCAAAATTTCCAAAAAAAAATCCCAAAATTCCCAAAATTTCCAAAAAAAATCCCAAAATTCCCCAAAAATACCAAAAAATCCCTAAAAAAAATCCCCCCCCCCCAAAAAAAAAACCAAAAATCCCCCGTAAAAAAATCCCAAAATTCCCCAAAAAATCCCCTCAAAAAAATCCCCAAAATTCCCAAATTCCCCAAAAAAAATCCCCAAATGCCCAAATTCTCATTCCCAAAAAAATCCCTAATTCCCATACCCACTCCCCCAGAGGCCCGCCCGGCCCTCAGGGCTTCGCGGGCATCCCAGGCCTCCCGGGAGAAGACGGCTACGACGGGCGGCCCGGAGGACTCGGCTTCAGGGGCCCCCCGGGGCTGCCAGGGCCCGGGGGGGAGGACGGCGGGCCGGGCTCCCTCGGCAGGGCGGAGAAGGGCGCCCACGGGGATGACGGTGAGGCTTGGAGGACGAGGTTGGAGGGGGAGGTTGGAGGGGGAGGTTGGAGGGGGAGGTTGGAGGACGAGGTTGGAGGAGGAGGTTGGAGGGGGAGGTTGGAGGAGGAGGTTGGAGGACGAGGTTGGAGGACGAGGTTGGAGGAGGAGGTTGGAGGGGGAGGTTGGGGGGGGGAGGTTCGAGGAGGAGGTTAATGAATATAATTAATATACATATATTTAATTAATATAATTAATATATATGTATTTAATATGATTAATGGATATAATTAGTATAGATATATTTAATATAATTAATAAACATAATTAATATAGATAATTTAATATAATTAATAAATATAATCAGCATAGATATATTTAATATAATTAATAGACATAATTAACATAGATATATTTAATATAAGTAATAAATATAATTAATATAGATATATTTGATATAATTAAAAAAAACACAGATTAGCTTTTTTTTTGTTTTGTTTTTTCTTATCTTTTATCAACTCAAAAAAAAAGTATTTTCTTCCAAGATTTTCTTTTTCTTTTCTTTTTTTCTTCTTTTTTTGTCCTAAAAAATAAATTTAACAGGTCATATTATGCTAAAATCATATGATAAAAAACATATAATTTTTAAAATAAAATCTAAATGTTAATAATATAATAATAATATTATATTAATAATATAAATATCATTACATAAAATTATATAAAATATTATATTATATTATATATCATATATTATTATATTGTTATATACACATTAACATTATTATATTATTATATAAAATATTATATTATATTATATATATTATATATTTTTTTATTATTATATAAACATTAACATTAACATTATTATATTATTATATAAAATATTATATTATATTATATTTTTTATATATTTTTTTTTTATTATTATATAAACATTAACATTAACATTATTATATTATCATATGAAATATTATATTATATTATATATATATATATATCACTATATTATTATATAAACATTAACATTATTATATATAATTAATTATATATTTAACATTTTAAGCCATTTAGGTGAGACAAGTCAATTTATCCTAGAAATATTTATCTCATAATTTATCTAATTATCCAGGCTTTATCCAATTTATCCTAGAAATAATTATGCAATTTATAATTTTATCCACAATTTATCTCATAATTTATCCAACTTATCTCATAATTTATCAAATTTATCTCATAATTTATTCAATTTATCTCATAATTTATCAAATTTATCTCATAATTTATCAAATTTATCTCATAATTTATCAAATTTATCTCATAATTTATCAAATTTATCTCATAATTTATCTCATAATTTATCTCATAATTTATCCATAATCTATCTCATAATTTATCTAGAAATATTTATGCCCCTAAAATACAAGTCACATTTTTCTAAAACTATGTCCAACAGGTCCCTTTTTAAGCCACGCAGGTTAGATAGGTTTTTATTTTTACCCGAAAATTAGAAGCAAATCAGGTCATTTTAATACAGATAAGTTAGACGGGTCATTTTGCCCTAAATCTATATATATAGCAGGTCATTTGCCCCAAAATACAGGTCACTTTATACTAAAATTATGTCCAACAGGTCCCTTTTTAAGCCA